CCACACTCCCCTCAGAAGGGGAGTGTGGGCCCACACGCCAAAGCATATTGGCGCGTGGGAGCGCACTCCAACCTGCTGGGGGACTGCCCCTGCAGATTGTTGGAGTGTGGACCCGCACTCCAATTTCGATTGGAGTGCGGTCCCACACTCCCTTCAGAGAAGCAACAGTGGGCCGCTACGCTACACTACGCTATTTGACCACTAACTGTTAGTGTAGTGGCCTTTTTATTTCCTGGAAATTCTGTAGTGTTAGCTGACGCTAAACCCCACTATGCTAACTGTTAGTGTAGTGTAAATTTTTCTCTCAAATTTTTTGGTAGTGTTAGCTTCAAATAATCTCAGCTAAACTAACAGTTAGTGTAACTTTTTTTGCGCTAACAAAATTTTGACTGTCAGATAGTGTAACTGATTTGAAGCTAACATTTAGTGTAACTTATACCAAATTAAGCTACGCTACACTACACTACATGCCTAGTTACGCTACGCTACAGTAGGAGAAATTGACATGTCAAGTGAGAATTTATGCTCTTGAACCCTCTTCCTCTGCTTTCTGTTTTCAATGGAAAAGTTGTGTGAACTGTCCATATAACTGATACGGCCGAGGTCCATAGTGACGATTTTCAATGTCCTATGATCACTCACAATCCTGCAGAAAATGAACAGCACAAGATGCAGAGACAAACAAACGGAGGATGTGCCTGGTGAGATTTGAACTCGCAACCTCAGCAATGCTGAGTCACATACCAGAGTGCTTCCTTTACCAACTAGGCTACAGACCCTTGTGGTTGTAAGGTTATTCAGGTGGTAGTTGCCATGGTTCATGCCAACAGCTCCACCACACTCTGGTGATACATCATGGTTACACCTCAACCCCCCCCCCCCCTTGCTACATGATGTGAAAGTGGAAATTGAACAAGTGTGGGAATGGAACCCAGTAAAGTATGATCTGAGGGGGAATTGAACCCATAATCTCAAGGTAGTCTGACAGGGGAATGTGGTCTTACAAGTAAGTGTTAAAAATTGGCAGGGGGCTAAAATTGAGTGGCCCCCATTACCAACTGAAAAAAAAATGATGATCAATTGAGGGGATCTGGATGTAGGCCCCCCAATCAGGCACTGTCTTCAGGGTATACTAATGCTAGTCATGTGGTCATGTAACTTTTAATTAGTTACGCTAACAGTTAGTGTAAATTTTTCACCAGTTACGCTGACAGTTAGTGTAACTGAGGGTACCACTACACTAAATGTAAGTGTAACTTTGCAAAAATTTACACTAACATGTAGTGTAGTGGGTTCACCCACTAACACCACTAAAATTTCACTAACAGGATTTTGGGTAGTGTTAGATGTGCCTTTTTAAAGGTAGCTAACACTACGCTAAAGTTTTTTTTTTTTTTCAAAAATCCTGTAGTGTTAGTGGGCCAAAAATTCCCGCTTACGGTAATTAGAAATGTGCCACACACGTGTTATCAATATACAATTTTATGTTTGAAACAACAAATAAGTAAACCTGTTTATTAGCATATTTAATTATAAACATAAGCATATTTCATTTCCTTCTGGGAGGTACAGTCTATATCTTGAATGTAGATTTGCCGCATGAAGTAGTTGAAATATAGGGTACCTTTGAGTGAGGTACCCTAGGTTATTCTTCATATAGATTAAGAATATTGAGAAATAATTCTCTTATTATTTGGTCTTCTCATTTATTACAAGCACTATTCATAATAATATCTTTTTGTCTTTTCTATAGTGTTTGTGTACTATGACAGGTTGTCTCTGCTATAGTAGCAAGCTGACACTCAGCCTGGTCACATAGTTAGCTTATAGTCTTTAGTCATACTCTTTAGTTATAGAGTCCCTAGAAAAAGTCCTTAAAAATATTATCACATCCTTTAGTCAGATTTTAGTCCGCCACATCTTCTGAGAGTATTTAAACTCTCTTTGTCTACTACCTTAGCACCTTTCACCGGAGGGCAACTTTATTCGCAGCGCATTTACCCTTCCACGCTCTATCTGATCCCACTGGGTAGTTCCACACCGTGCGTGTTTTGGAGAAAGGGGAAGTTTCTTTATCTGCACATGGACGACTTGGCCATCTTCAGCAAAAATCCTGAAGACTTCAAGGCTGAAGTGAAAACTTATTTTCAAATCAAAGACTTAGGATAATCCAATCTCCTACTGGGCTTGAATGTGCGCCAAGAAGGGAACTCTGTCACCCTTACCCAAAGTCACTACATCAAAACTCAGCTGGAAAGATTTCATTTCCAAGACCTGTACCCTGCTTCCACACCTATGAAACCCAAAAGTTATCTTGTCAAAGCCACCAATGCCAAAAGAGTCAGCCACATTGAATCAGGTAACAACTATTTTTTGCTAATTGGTGCATTGAACTATCTGAGCACACCACTCATCCAGACATAACCTTTGCTGTCAGTTCACTATCCCAGTTCCTCAATGAACCCGGTTCCAATCACTGGGACACCGGGATTCAAGTGCTCAGATATCTGAAGGGGACCAAAGAGATTGGTCTCAAGCTCTAAAAACCAACTGACAATCTTGACGCTCTTGTGGGATACGCGGACACTGACTGGGCATCATGCCCTGAGTCAAGAAGATCCGTCTCAGGCAACTTGATTCTGTACAATGGAAATGTCATCTCAAGGAAATCCAAGAAACAACCAACCCCGTCACTGTTGTCTACTGAGGCCAAGTACAAATCAATTGGCCAAATTACCAAGGAGATCATGTGGATCAAGACCTTGCTCAAGAAGATCTTCAATATCAAGATTAAGGGACCAACTCCGATTTTTGAAGACAACCAAGGGGCAATAGCACTTGCAAACGACAAATCCAATCATTCCAACTTCAAGACTAAACACATGTCACTACGGCATCATTTTATCTGCCGCAAGATCAAAATCAAATCCATTGTCCTGAAATATGTCCCAACTCACCTCATGTTGGCTGATTTCCTCACGAAAGCCGTTGGGAAGACGTCTAATCGCCAAGCTCTCCATAGTCTTCAGTTCTTGTGCTCTTCTCCTAATCGGCAATGAGCAAGGGGGTGTGTTAGAATTTTGCACCTTTGCTTGTGCAGGGCCGCGGCTCCCACGCTCTCAGCTCTCAACTCCGTACGCTGTGCCACGCACTATTGTGTTCAGACTCAGGAGAACCCGGCTTTCTCCTCATCTCGTCCAGAACCAACCAATAGTCCGATAATCAGCGATCAACCTCAAGTTTATCAGTCTTCAAGTGTCATCATTGCTCTCAAGATCACCACCGCTGCCATGCTCTAGAGTTGTGGTGATTAGCTTGTTTCTTTTTGTCTTTTTTTCTCTTGTTTTGTTTTCATCATGTACTGATGTTCTCTTTCCTAGTCTCTGTCCTGTGAGTTTTGTGTGTGTGGTGTTTATTGTTTGTTCTTCTGTCTATCTGTCAAGTCTCCTCTCAGTCCAACCATCTTGATCCTCTAGGTAACACTTCATCTCTTTCTTTGTTCTTCCATTGTCCTTGTCTTTGTTGTTTCTGTTTCTTATGCAATCCTATCTCTAGTTCGTTGTGAAGAAAATTAAATTGTATAAATATTTTGTACTGAGTATGACCTTGATTGGTCTCACCATAACACCCCCTCCCCTCCAAAAAGGGCGTGTGATAGCACCCATCTGTCTCTGAAGGGTGTGCAATCAAACCTGCCCCTCAGAGACGGGCGGGTGGGATTGCACACCAACCACTCAAGAGGTCATGGCAGGCTGATGTAAGCAAAACACTCTGGAGTGTTTTGCTTACGTCACACCTTTTGAGTTTATCTCATTAGGTTGAAGGAGCTGTTTTTTAGTTGCAAGTCACCCTTGATGAGGTAGAGTACTGTATTGTTGTAGGCGGCAAGCATGGCCTTTGCCAATGCCGATCAGACATTGTTTGATCCTCAGAAAGACCTGCTTCCTTGTCTTTTCTTTGCAGCAAATCACTTCTAGAATCGGTAGTTGAAAGTTGAACTGGTTGAAATATTGACTGAGAATTTCCTTGCACAAAATTGGTCTCTGTTTCCCAGTTGATGCAAAATTCTTGAGCCGGTTTTGGTGATATTTTTTTTTGGCTTCCTCCAGGTTAGCATGGAAGATCGGCCTTGTTCTCTCCATCACTGGCTCTTTTCCCTTGCCCAAATTATTGTCTTTGGTGCTGGTTTTCTCTCTAGATCCTTCTTCCAAACGCGCCTGTTCTTGATTCTTCAAAGTTTCCTTGGAAAGAAATGCAATCAAGTAAGATTGATATGTTTGATTCCTATTGAATGAAGCACAACCAGAACTCTTTTGCGAGATCACTGGCATTGAACGTACAACCTTTGATCAACTGTGTGGTACACATTTTTGGAAGAGGTGATTTTGGGTTCCGTTTTGAAAAAAGCGCAAAAAAAAACGGGTACAAATCGTTTTTCAAAGTGGGAAGCGCTGTGGTACACACCCTAAATATTTAAATTAAACTAACACCAATTTTTTATATCATCATGCTGGTTCTGTTTCAGCAATTTGACTAAAAATCAAGACGTGAACCGTCCTAATGTCTGGTTTATATTAGAAGATGGCATTTTGTGCTGTTGATTTTAATGGTTCCTCTGAATAGCCTGGTTCACAATAGCCAGTCATCAGCAACAATTTTTGCTGTAATCAGGAAATGGATGACTTCCCGTCAAATTTGCGGGTCTCCCAGAAGCAATTTAGAGGCCTTGAAAGCTAGATTTCCCAGCGAAATTCTAGACTTTTTGGGTCTAAATCAACATCTGCGAGGGTCCCAGATCCGATGGGAAGTCCTCCATTGATACTTATTTTTGAATGTGTAGTCCAGAGTCCCCCAGATTATTCCAGATCCATCCGTTTTAACAAGGTGGTGATCAGCCATTGGAACTGGCTATGTAATGTGAACTGGGCTGATATGCAGAAGTTAAGTTTGGCTGGCTGCTGTTCAGTTACTGTTAAGCCAATTTTGAATTCCAACCAAACCACTTCGACCCAAAAACCACGACCAGCAACCAATTAACAGAAAACTGATGGAAAACAACAGCCGACGAACTCAACCGAGCTCATTACCATTCTTGATCCTCATCGGACTACTCTTCTACTTCTTCTCAAACTCAACCAACTCAAACAACCAATCCCAATCGAAGAGACAACTAGAACGAAGACTCGAACAACGAAACAATGAGCTCATCGGACTAAAACAATACTACAACACCAACAACACCAACAACACTAGCACACTACCGATCACCCCTCAGCTGAGCTACCATCCCAATCGAACATTCGGATCCCAGAGCCTAACCAATGCACAGCAATTCATTCAACAGTGGTACCAACAACTCAGCGATCGATCGAATATCGAATCTCAAGCCATATACTGGAAGAATATCTCAGGCCATATCAAGGGACACTGGAGATGGAGGAAGGAGAGTCTAGAATGGTGGCCAGAATCAGCCAACAAGAGCTCTCCTGCAACAAACTCATCAGCATCATCTCCTCTCGATTCATTCGAGACTCGCCGGGGTAACTTCCCCTGGACCCCACCCAAAAACACACTCAATCAATCCATCACCAACAAATGGACCTATCCATCCGCTCAAAAGATCGACTTCAACCTCCGCGAATCCTCACCCGAACTCATCCGAGCAAATACTTCCATGGTTAGAGTGCGTCCTCTATCATCTCAACAAAAACAAAACACATTCTCTCATTCCTATTACCACTGACTGTTTACGTATTTACCAACAGGGGTCGATGTATATCTCGTCCGGTGACTCTAAGGATATCATGCTAGAAATAGAAGGAATCCAGTCAGTTTTTTTTTTGCCCTTCCTTACCTTTGAATAGCCGTAATCATTAAAGCCCTCACTGTGATCCAGCTTACAGAACGAGGGAAAGTTTTATCTACGAGCCTATCCGAGTCGAATGTATCTAGACACCCGAATCCATCTCTCATCAGCCATCGACATCCCAAACAAATACCTCGTCGATCACCCACATCTCAATCAATCCTCACCCAACCCTTATCCGCCATCGCCTCAACAACTCCAGATCACTCAAGCTATCATCGCCGATTACGAACATCGGATCGAAAAGATCAAGAAAATCTTGAAGAAGGGCGACTTGCCTCGCGAAAATGATGAGAGAGGTGATTGAACTCATTCCTCATAAATTTCGATCATCTAGAAAAAAAGCAAAAGAAAATTGATCCCAACCCTTTCCCCTTTTTTTGCAGACGGATTCGAGCATGATGTAGCCAACTGTACTTTCTTGATCTATGGAGGCTTGACCCCATTATCGACGACGACGACGCAAACGGCAGAAAGCTTAATGGAGTATGAGCGATCATTGCTGGAGCCCACAGGGGCATCACTGACCGTCCCTTCGCCCGGCCATCCGATCTTGCAGACCTTGATGGTCTCACCCAACTGCGGCCTAGTCCTCGAATCCGGAGAGATGTCCGTCCTCCTCGGCCCCTCCTTTTGGTCCAAAACTAGGAACTACGGCTGGGTTGCTGGCCTCGTCTTGGGCCTTCAATGTTGGCTGCTCGTTTGGCAAATGGACAGTCGTCAGAGTCCTTCGGTAAGCCTCTTGACTACTCCTCTGGATCAGATTCCTATACATACTTTAAATCAAACTCATTTCGATGGAACATTTTTTTTGGGGGGGGCACGCCAGAGTTTATCAAGGATGTCATACTTCTCATTAGTAGCCCAAATCATTATGGATGCCTGGACGTTTTCGAGTCATCTGACATTAGCAGTCGTGACGAACAACAGCTCGACGGAGACACTACTGGTGCCGGCATTCTTTGCCTGTCTGAATGCGATCCTGTTCGGGATGCGATACGGCGCCCTGATCCGGATCCACGAGCCCTCCCCCACCGTCGATCCCGCCAATCGCTCACAGGCTCCAGTGGAAGACTCCCACATCGGCCGCGACACTGACTACGTACAGGTCCCTACAACCGACCTCGCCGACCCCCCTAATGTGGAACCCTCTCCCGCTCCAGCTCTCCCTCCACGTCAATCACGCTTCCGAAGCCTGCTCAACTCCCTCAAGAGTTTACTTGCACATCGTCCACTTGGTTGGTTTTCCCCCAGCCTTCTTTTTTTGAGAATCCTCCTGACATGCGCTTCCTTATTGTGTAGTTTTGATTTCAATCGTAGCCATCTTTCTCCTGATCGTCCCATTCTTATTATACAGTTGGCAACCACTAGTGCTCTCGATCCTATTCTCTTATTGGAGTAAGTCCCTTTCCCCCCCTTCTGATTCCTCCGCCTTGTTAATCAAGTACTTCACATTGACTCTTCTTCTTGATATCTTTTTTTAGTTCCGCAGATTGTTCATAATGTTCAACATGGAACCAGTCGCAGAGGCTTGCGTAAACGATACGTCCTCGGCACTACCCTTTGTCGACTCTTCTTGCCTCTCTATGTTAGTAATCTGCGCTTTTGTTTTACAAATATTTGAATACAAAAGGATAAACGCTAATTGGATTCCAAGGTTTGATTGATTGGCAAAACAATAGATTTGGGGATGTCCTAATAATGTACTCTTTGTTACTGCGAACCGTAAGGATTACTTCTGTTTTCATTTTTGGAATTGATCGAGAGTAGTGACTGATCAAAAGAGAGAGATTTGGTGATATAGCATGGATCTGGATGATCGCTTTATATTCATTGAGTCAAGCGATGATACTAATCCTACAAGATTACCTAGGCGCGCGGTTCTTCCTACTAGGGTTCTGTTTCTCGTACGAGCCAATGTGGGACTACCATCCAGTGAAGCTGCCGACGAAGGTAGATCTCGAGCAGGGCGGGAGTGTGAGCAATGGGGAGAAGATGCCAGAATGTGTGATCTGTTTCGAGCCGATCGACGTCCTCCCATCCTCGCCCACATCCAGCACTGTCTCTAGTCTCGACCACCAACAATCACTTCATAATCATCATCATCGGCAATCTTCTCATGACTCCTCAGAATCGCCTCTCCTCCGTCACATCCCCTCTACTACCTTCGCCACCTCAGCTTTCCCCTTCTCTAGCTCCTCCTCTGACGTCCACCATTCTCTCTTCTCGCGCTGGTCTTACATGGTCCCTCCTTGTCATCATATCGCTCATACCAAATGTCTCGAAGGTTGGCTCGCTATTAAATCTGAATGGTTCGTTAACCTCTTTCGTCCTCCTTTCCTTCCTTTTTATCTCTTTGATCAGTCCTTCTTCTGGTTGAACTTGAACTCATCCTCGCATGTTCTGTCCTTCTTTTGGTGTGTGTGTGTGTCTGTGTACGGCGGGGATGCATTTAGTCCTGTTTGTCGTCGTCCCTTGCCTCCTATCTAAGCCCATAGACATCTCTCCGCTCTTCCTCTCGTCGTTTTTTTTTTATTCCAATCTAGTCATAGGATTCTCCATAAAATATGCATAGTAGCGATCTACATACATTCTAGATTTGTTATTTTATTTCTCTCTCTCTCCCCTTCATCAAAAGTTTGCAAACCCCCCTTTTTTGTCGTTTTATCTTTTGTTGTTGTTATTGTTTCTGATGTGCATCAGTGGGCAATACTTCTTTTCTTCTTCTTCTTTGGCAGTATGTACATACTTGTATCTCTTTTACATTTTCTCTATTCACAACAACCAAAACGTAAATGAATAATATGATGTATGTATATGTACTAGAGGCTACTGGGGTGTGGCCATCTTATTCATGGTTGTGGTAGACCGAGCAAGCCCTTCACCCCATCTCCGGCACAATGATAGCTCACAGAAGTCGCCTTATAAATTTTGAACTCTCAAAATAGATCATATGTCCTTCTGCTACATATGCCCTAGAAATAGATTATAGGAGAGACAATATGATAAGTTTTAAGGCGACTTCTCTGAAGCCGTGCCCATTAAGTCCCTCTTTATTCGGAGGGGGGCAGGGACCCCCCGAAAGGGACGTGGTTCGGAGGGGGATAAAAGCTCGTCTTCTTCCTTGTTGACCGTTCTTCTTCAACTTTTCACTTTTCATCAATACCATGGTCAGATCTCGGAAGGGCTCAACTGTACAACGGAGCAACCCATTAGGACCAACGAACCTGCAAACTGGAATACGAACCGACGACGATGATGATGAAGAAGGCTATATTCAGACTCAGCAGCGGCATCAAGTAGAGTCAAACCAAACAGCATCACTAGAAGAACCATTACTGAAATCTGATAACCACCAAGCATCACGCCAAAAGAAGAACGACCTCGAACCCTTTCCAACTTCCACCTTCCTGATCTCCTCACTCATCGCGCTAGGCCTATTCCTACTCTTCTTCTGTCTAGCCCCATCCATCTCACCACTCTTCCCACGAGCGACTACCCCTCATCTCTCAGCAACAACAACAACGACGGGCACTGCCACTGACCAAAGCAATCCTCCAACTAGCTCCAAGAAACCTACCTCGAAATTCGTCAAACCGTCTGCCCCACCCGGCAGTATTACCGACAATACAGACAACTGGGCTAATCAAGGCGGTGGTTGGAAGGACTCAGACCCAGATGCTGAGGACAAGATCGCTGAAATCGGAGCACCGCTATTCAACGGGACCCATCGATTCAAAAAAACGGTGATCATCGTCTCCTTGGATGGGTTCAGGTGAGTCATTGTGCTGCAGTAGACGATGGGCATTATGACCAAGGAGCTGATGACGATAATATGCATTATCTGGTGATGGTGATGGTGATGGTGATGGGGGGATACAATTGATGATCGAAGAGCAGAATATCTAGAGAGGGGTCTGACGCCGAGACTGACGACGATCAGGGAGAAGCTCGGAATCTCGGCGGACTACCTGGAGCCCCAATTCCCGACGCTCACGTTCCCGAACCATTGGTCGATGCTCACAGGTCTTTACCCAGAGTCACATGGGATCGTTGCCAACGACTTCCGCGATTCCAAACTGGGCAAAAGCTTTAGTAACATCGATCCTCATAGATCTTGGGACCCAGTCTGGTGGGGCGGCGAACCTGTTTGAGTGCCACTTTCATCCGTCTCACCTTCTTGACATATCATCTCGTATATACGATATCTGATCTTTTTCTTTACTCTCTCAAGATCTGGGCGACCGCTACTAAACATGGAATCCGAACCGCTATCTCGATGTGGCCAGGTCCCCCTTATACCATCGACAAGACTCGTCCCACTTATTGGCGTGCATTCGAAGATCGATATAAATGGTGGAAGAAAATACGGCAGCTCGAAAATTGGCTAGGTTCATTCTACTTTCTATTTTTTTCCAAAAAAAGAAAAAAAGCAGCATGAAATATCAATTCAGATACAGACTGATTTTTCTGTGGGGTGGATTGTTTGTAAATCAAGACTTGCCAGTGAAAGATCGACCGGAGTTGATAGCCTTATATGTACCAGATGTAGACCAGATGGGTCATCAATACGGTCCGACGGCCGAGAAATTTAACCAATCCTTACAGAGCGTCGACCGTTTTGTGGGCGCACTCTACGACAGTCTACAGGCCCGGAATCTGAGCGAGATTGTCGATGTGGTGATGGTCGGCGATCATGGGATGATGGCAACGAGCGATCAGAGAATCGTTTATCTCGACCAGGTCTTGGGTCACACTTACTTCAATCAAATTCAGTTCCAAGATGGTCAGATCCCAATTTTTTTTGTCTACATTGCCATCCTTCGTTTTGATCTTTATCCTTCTGAAAAGAAGTTTGCTCATTCCCTTGGTCATTTATTATCTCTGCTATTTTAGGTTGGCCGGCTGCTGGTTTAAGGTTCCTTCCAGAGGTTGATACTCGGCCTATCTTGGAAAGATTGATCGAACAATCCAAGATCTTGCCTGGTTTTGAAGTCTACACGCATCAAACGATGCCCCAACGATGGCACTACGTGAGTCCCTCTTTTCTCTCCCCCAGCGTACTTCGTCATTCTTTCTTCCATTACTAACTTGTTGGGAGCGGATACGATAGACTGCCAACGACAGAATCGCACCGATCTACGTGTTTCCTAAACCCGGTTGGGTGATTAGTAATACTCATGAACATCAGGTGGTCATGAATGGAACGTATGATGTTAAAGTTCAGTTTTGTCTTTTTTATCAGCTATCATCTAAGATATCCCTGTCCTTTTTACATGCACACAATTCTTGAAAGGCTCACATGGTAAATACCCATACAAACAATAAAAAATTAAGGGAGTTCATGGATATGATAACGAAGAAGAGAGCATGAGGTCGATCTTCATAGGATATGGACCATTTGCACACACCATTAAGAATAATCAACTCCGCTCGATTCGACAATCAACTACTCATCCACTTGTCGTCGGCAGACTGCCCAAGTTCTCTAACTTGGAGATCTTCAGTCTGATATCTAAGTTACTCGATCTCGACCGATTCATCGACTTTAATCAACGTAACTGTTCAATCGGGTTTTGGAACCAATACTTCTAATGTTCCCCTTTTCTTTTTCTTTGCCTTTGCTTATTCAATCAAACTAAAAAAAACATGAACTATTTGACTGGCTTTCGTAACTAGCAGCTTGTCTAATCTCCGGCTTCTTTTTGTTTTGTAAATATTGTATAGATCAATCTTTACGTTTCACTTTTTTTTGGTCTGATGAGGAGGAAGCTTGTTTATGTCGTTATCGTCAACATACATGTATGAGATACCCTCCCCCCCCCCCTCCCGCCATCTTCATCTTGAATCAACTCTTCCTTCTCTGTATCTTTGTAGATCTTTCTCCTTTTCACAAATCTCTTGCTCTCTTTGTATTGCATATTCATGGCCGGTTGGTCGTCTCCGGTCGAGGATATCATTGCTTAGCTACTTCAACTTCATGCACAATGATTTTGAAGAATCATATGCTTTCTGATCAAAGTAAGTTCTTCACTCAACTGACTCTGAATAACGAGTTTGTGCAGAACAGATGGTAAGATGAGATTGGATTGTCTGTCCAAGATGGATTACATAAAAATCAAACTGCGGTTAGTGTCGTAACAGAAGCTCAATTAATGTGGCTGAAGTTCTGAACAGGAGTGATGACAAAGACAAGCAAGAGATAAACATGGCGAGTCAAAAGGGTTGACGGATAATCAAAGTGCTAAAGGACCTGCAATCTGATCAGAAGACACCTTGAAGTGATCCAACCGAGGTCGCCAGCCCTTTCATCGAGTCTTTGCAGCCACACATTGATTGCTATTGACGAAATCGGCAACATCATTCCTAGCTTTTATTCCATTACCCTACAAATCCACAGAGATATATCAGGCCGGTCAAATGAGTCGAAAGTGCAAGGCTGACAGAAAGTTAAACTTACGAGGATAGCATGTGTCTCTTTCTTGTCATCGCAACAGTATGCCGTGTCGATACTTCGACACGAGTAGCCTGGTCCGTAACGTGGCGCACTAGCGACTATATTTCATTCGAGCAAATTAAGGCGCAGAAAAGAGCACATAGTTTTTTTTTTTTTTTTTTTGTTTCTCTCTTGTGAGCCAACTGAAACCTCATGAACCGAAAAAACACAAGTTTTCCGGACAAATTATAGTGAGATTGAGGAGGGAGAGGATCGTTAACTTACCATACCACTTTATAAACCCATTGTCGTTGGTCTCGATCCATCGACAATGTCCAAACACTTGATCATGCGGACATCCAAACTTCTGCGCCGTGTCTCTGCTGACTCCAGCCACAAGACCAACACTCATCACCGACACCATCGTCATCATAATAATCGTTGGTGTCAAAGTATTCATCTTAAATTGCTGGTTCTTTTTTTTTGGTTGATGAAAGCGGATAGAATGTTGGACGTATTTATATGGTTATTCCTAAACAAAATTCGCAAAATATCATTTTGAGAAATATAGCAGTTTGAATGGTTAAAATTGCCAGCTGTTTGTCAGTAATTTTTTTTTGTTTCTTGTTTTTGTGAATGGATTATGATATGGGAGTAGGAATACTAACCACGAGTTTCGCAAGCGTTACAATGTTCTCGAAGCAAGCAGCTGCTGAGATCCGGGTAGTACTAGTTTAGAGGTGTAAGAGAGAGAGATGGGCCGAGTTGAGGCGCAGGAAAAAGGAGTGGAGTATTTGAGCAAAACATGAGCTTTGTCGAACTTGAACCTGTCTCTATATGATAATTTTTCGAGAGCAGCTCATTGGCAGGCATTGACATCGCCGGACATCGCCCATGTCCTTTTGTACACCACCAGGACACTTTTCGCTCCTCCGGGGCGTCGACGCAACGTCAAACAAAAAATATGGGTCGGGTTGACCAAGCGGTCGAGTTGGCGCAGGTTTGTGTGTCACACCGCAGTTGGCCTGACCAGCCGGTCAGCCCGCCTGATGCAATTCGGTCAGGCTGTCGGTTTGGTTGGAATGGTCAACCGACGGCTTTCCACACCGGCGATTGTCGGCCAGCCGCCCGATCTTTGACCGTCCGGGGGCAGGCTGTCATCAAGTGTCATTTAGACACTCGGCCTCCTGACGACAGCCCCCCTGACCCATGTACGACCGACGGTTTGCCGAGGCCATCACCGTCAAGCCTCCGGCAGTATGACCCAAGCTTCAGCCAGGACATCCAACCGGGGCTGCATCTCCAGCTTTGGTCAACCGCTGGAGACCAGGACTGACAGTCCTGCCAAACCGACGCGCTGCTGTCTCAAAGAGGCTTGCCAGGGCGCCTCATGAAGGATGCGGTTGGGATGACCAATGCCGAGTCGTCGGCTTGACGTCGGGTCACCCACTTTTATGACACTTCAAAACCGTCTCACTGTTTATCTTTTCAGGTGAGAGGTGGAGAAAAATTGGTATGATTTTTTTTTTTTTTTTTTTTTTTCAAAAAATTGACTTAGAGAAAAAAAAAGCATCTTGCATATAGAGTTTCCGCAATCAAATATCCATCTCGGTCATGTAATTCAAGCAAGACTGGCCAAGTGGTCAAGATCATCAGTTGAATGTGATCATGTTGGGTTTCATCTTCTGATCGAGCCCGCTGTTCAGCAATATTTTTTTTAGGCTTCATGATCTGGGCAGGATTCCCACAGCAGCCTGCAGGCCGGAAAGCCCAAATTTTGGCTTCTCACGTCGGAACCTGCAGCTGTCAATACAGGGTCCAAATCTCACGGACCGATGACAGCAATGCAGTCGATCTGACGGCAGAGAACGGGCGGGCTGACTCAAAAGCTCGTGAATCCATAATCTCAGGACCGCTCATGGCCCTGAGATATTTATTGGATGTCGGCGGCTTATCGTCGGGCCACCCCCATCCCGCCTGGTGGACATGGGTCAACACCCCGACCACGCCGACCCCCTGGCTTCAAAGCTGCCAATTTGACGTCGGCAGACAGGAAGGTTTGGCTGGGTCGGCGGAGGTCGGTTCGTCCGTCAAAATACCGGGCGGGTTGGCGTCGAGATGCACCCGTGGTGTAAGACAGCGTGTCATGGGTTGTCCGGCATGGTTCAAGGGGAGCTTTCGCTTGATGTGCCCAGGTCGACTGCATGCCTACCTCGGCGGCTGCTTATGAACCAGTGTCAGACAGCCGCCAACATCGCATCGTGTATGTAGAGTCTCGGTTCGGCATGTCGACCTGATCTGTTCATTCTTTCAAAACCGCACGGACACTCATGGAATCGTGCGATACATCATCGGTGAAGGCGTTCTTGTTATGACATGAATTCCCATGTCACATTTTGTTAGATTTCTCACCCTATTTATATGCATAGTCTATGGATTTATGGGTTTTGGTTTCTCACCAACCCAAGTATGTACATAGGTTTTTTCTATAAATACTGGGCTCTTAAGAAATTTATATCCCCTTGGGGGAGTTTTCCATCATCTACTCGAATGTTAGGATTCATAGCATAACAGGTTATGAGCCCGCGCTGTTACCAGCGGTAGCTCCTATTCTCGCTTGTTACTTGACTCTCCCCATCCACAAGCTCCCAGTGGATTTGAACCATTTAATTTCCTCTAGTCACACCTTCCTGCTTCAAGGTTGCGGTGTTGAACTCTTTTCTGGTTTTATCATCAACCCCGCCAAATCATGGTCCTCATCCGACTTCTTCTTGGAATCTCGACTCAACCTCGGTTTCCCTTGACATTATTCTGGCGGTTCAATCAATAATATTTTTGCTATCATCGGCCCTAGCAAGGCTATCAACGGTCCTAGCGAGGCTGTAGCCATGTCTTCATCCGACGCAAAATTGGTTTCTCAGCCGCGCTTCTTTGTTACGATTTAACACTATTCGATCAGCCATGTCTCCATCTGGCAGTAAGCTGGCCTCCCAACAAATCGACCACCCTTCTTCCGTATAAGTTGACCGCCCTTCTGCGGTATAAATCGACCGCCCTTCTGCGGTATACGCCAACGTTATCCTCATTCAACACGATTCCCTCCTCAACCGCCTTTCGGTCAACGGGCTCAGTCCTCATACGACACTATCGATCCTTTGCTCGACTGTCTTTCTGCGGCATACATTGGAAATGTCCTCACACAACACTATTTGCTTCTCGACCGCCCTTCTGCGGTATAACTCGGTGTTTTGCAACAATCCCAGTCCTCATACAACGCTATCAACCATCCTTCTGTGGTTTACCTTTTCCTAACACAAAACTTGTTTTTTTTTTTCTTATTTTTTACACTTTATTTTCATTTTCTTTCCCCTCTTGCACTTCGTTCCTTCTGTTTCTCTTTAGAGGGGTTGGTGAGGGGGGGAGTGTTATGACATGAATTCCCATGTCACATTTTGTTAGATTTCTCACCCTATTTATATGCATAGTCTATGGATTTATGGGTTTTGGTTTCTCACCAACCCAAGTATGTACATAGGTTTTTTCTATAAATACTGGGCTCTTAAGAAATTTATATCCCCTTGGGGGAGTTTTCCATCATCTACTCGAATGTTAGGATTCATAGCATAACAGTTCTGATCCCTCGGCACGGGCCGGACTTGTTGTAACACCAGTGTTACATCCCATGAACTCGCCGCAGCACGGCACCTAGGATAACTCCGGACTTGTCCGGAGTCATCGTTTGGAGAGATTCTTGCAATTATCATATCATTTTCCGGTCTCTGCCTGAATAGGACTCACCTTTCCCCAGTTGGTGACTAAATAATATCGTCGGTAGGGTGATTATAGTAATACTAGTACTCATGAACATCAGGTGATCATGAATGGAACCCATGTTCCTTCTACCAACCCTCAACTCCATACACCAGGATTTTTTGAAAAAACATTTGCTTTCTGGACACAACAGGTTCCTCACTCAACTGAGTACTCGGCATCATGACTGTATGGAGAAAAGAAGCTAGAAATTGAATGAGATTGGAATGTCTGTCCAAGTTGGATTGCACAAAAAACACGCGGCTGTTATGGCTGAACAGGACTGGTGAGAATGGAAAGCTAAAGAGGAACATGATGAAATACAGCGATTATGGATAATGGGACTGCATACGCAAGTCACTCCAGGAATGATAGGTTGAGAGAACAATTGAGGAAGAGGACCTGCAATCTGACAAACCGCTTTGAAGTGGAGGTTGGCAGTATTTTAATTTTTCAGTGAGTCTTTGCAGCCACACAATGGTAGCCATTGACGAAATCGGCGACATCATTCCAAGCTTGTATTCCATTACCCTACATTTCCACAAACATATGTCAGGGTTGGATCAGTAGACCTGAGTATTGACCTGGTGAAATCCTCTGGTTCAGGTTTGAGTCTGATGGAAACTTACGAGGGTAGCATGGCTTTCCTTCCGGTCATCACAACAGTATGCCGTATCTATACTTCGACAGGAATAGCCAGGCCCGTAACGTGGAGCACTAGCGACTATTTATTTATCCAATCAACAGTCCAGGAAAAAAGTAGGTTTTTTTTGAGACATCAGAAGCTGAAGACAAAACAAGGTGTCGAACAGATAGCTGGAGGGATCACCACTAACGATTCCACGTTACATATCCATTGCCGATGTTCTCGATCCATCGACAATGTCCAAATACTTGAAAATGCGGACACCCAAATTTCTGCGCTGTATCTCCTCCTCCATATCCAGCTACGAGCCCAATACACATCGTCATCGTCATCAGAACAATCATTGATGTCAAAGAGTCCATCTTCATTACTTCTTTGTGTAAACGGGTAGGATGATCGAATTATTAGGAAAATGCGCCCAAGTCCTAACATATTGTGGGAGTAGCAGTTTTGACAGTTGCCATCTGCTGTTTAATATCCAACTTCTTTCTTTTGTAAAGGTCATATAGGAATAAAAATACTAACCAAGGATTTTGTAAGCTTTAGATTGTCCTGGAAGCTAGCAAAATACGGGCGGTGAGTTGAGGATGTATTGATGCGAATGAGTTAAAGATAAAAACACTACAAGAAAAAGAAAAGAAAGCACAAGATCAAGAAACTACTCTTGATATATCTTTATCCAAGGTCTGGTTCACGCCTGATTTCGTCATACCTTTTCGGCTGTAGTCGTGTTTCCGATTTCGATCCTAACCCAAATCTAGACACGTAATCATTTCTCGGTTAGTTCCGAAAGAATTCTAATAATGAAGTTTACTCTTTGTGACTAATAAGAATATCCCTTGATTACAAAACTACCAAGTCCAGAGTAAGCACTACTTGTGGTTTTCATAACTTCTCTCCATGATTAATCTTGAGAGCAGCTCATTAGCAGGCATTGACATCGAGGACAGCCCCTCCTCCAGGTGAGCATCATTCGGCTTCCCTTAAGCAGCATAGTTCTGGGCCCTCATGGTCAGATGAGCCAAGCAAGAACAACCGCAATGTTGCTGCTGGCTTGCCACAACAACCTAACCTATCAACCAGCTGTGCCCAATCACATCGAATCCGCTGCGGCCGAAAGTCCGGACAAACCATCCCGAACCAACGGCAAAGGGAAGTACTAAAGTCTGGTTGCGCGAGATCTTCCGTTAAATCTTACTCGATGAGGATGTCGAGTGCTATCGACGCAGGAATGTCCGCCGTTGGCAAGCCTCACAAACCCCAGTAGCCCGAGTGCGGACAGATCCAAGAAGCTAATTGGCTAGTTCAGAACTGACCAGGAAATCTATTTTCAGTCCATGATCAACCACAATTCAACTCATTTCGGGAAGACACACTTGTCTCTAATATACATACCGCCCAGGCTGACCCCCAGCAAAACTTGATAATTTCGTTCAAGACCAAGTCAAAACCAAACAGTCTCACTTTGCGCGGCTGCTTCACATCAGTGTTGGTGCGGAAACCACACCGGTTGGGGTCCCAAATCTTTGGACATTTGTTGTAAAAGTATGCTCAACCATGGATCCAGCTTCTAAGCGGAACGGCACTGTCATAATCAAAATGATCAGTGAATCACCTCGGGTTTGAAGATTCACATCTTGTATACTTACGCTTCATGGTCAATCTGAATTGACTTGATCTCCCCAAAAACCCCAAAGTTGATGCCAGTTCCTTTTGGGATGATATCAATGAGGATCAAAAATCCCTGAGGCAGGCCTACAGAATGACTTACAAATTCAATGCACGCTTCTAAGACATTGATCAGCACATCTGGAATGGCTCAATACTGCCAATGATGTCCCCTAAGCTCAACAAAATCTACCTTCTCAAGAGCAGGTAATGGCAACAGTCAATTTGATGACTGCCATTACCAACTAGTTTTTTTGGAAGCAATTTTGAAAAATTGATGGCCAAAAGTTGCCCAAAAAGCCCTCCAAAGGTGGTTGAACACCCAGGCACCATTTTTCTATGGAGACTGTGCAAGAAAATGAAAAAATCTATTAGTGTAAGCTAACACAGTGCAGACAGAGGCAATGCCCTTCCCAAGCAAAATTTCTATTCATGGGTAATTATTTGCTTGTACACGCAGGTCCAATGAGACCTCCAAGCTGCTTGACCGTCAGACATGGCCACCCGACGAGAGATGGTACTGGCCAATGCAAAGGATAGCTATTATTAGACATATAAATACAATATCTTCTTTCAAGAGGGTTGGTTAAACTAGTGGTGGAAGGCATGCTCTGGATTTCTGTGTAACTGGCTGAATGCATAGTGCTCCCTCCCACCAAACTTGATAGCCAGACTGCCTCCAGGCTCCAGAAGGGCATGATGTGTTGAAAAGTAGGAGACTTGAAGGAAATATCAGAATTCTTGGATGGGTAGAATCTGACCTCTTAAAAAAAATTTTTTTTAAAAACTAGAACATTTTGTCATCTCAACAAACTTGTTTGATTGAGGATCCAGGACGGTCTGCTTGTTGTCTTTCTGATGACACAAGCTGACGATTGGTTCAGTTTTGCATATCTACCAATTCTTTTAGATGTGACTAGGGCTTAGAGGTGGATTTGCCACCCAGATTTGTCAATCAGGAAATGTTCAAGATGATCTTGTGAAAGGGAAAATCCAATTAATTAAGTCCACACTGTGAAGTGTTTGTGTAAGACCATAGCATTGTTTTGGAGTAATTCTTTGGATCCCTTAGCACTAACTAAGTAAGCCACAACTGAGTCAATTGTGGGAAGGCTGTGCTGAATTTAGCATCAGCAAAGTGTAGTGTGGCAAAATACCACTAACACTATAGATATTTTCCATTAGCTGTTGGTGGTATCATGCTACTGCTGATGGCCAAGGGGTAAATTTTGCGGCTGCTGCACAGTTTTAGACCCCCTTTTAGATTTTTTTTTCAGCAAAAATCAGTGTAATACAGTGTGGTGTTAGTGCAGTGCCACTAACCACCCACTCACGCTACAGCATCACAAGGTGTTTTTTGGGGTTGCTGGTGGTTCATTGAGCATAGTTTAGCATGACAACCCACCATTGACTGAGTGTGTCCAAATTGTTTTACTCAATAGCCTACCACACAATTTGTCTTGGGTTGGAATACTTACCAGATTGTCTGAAAATATTAAGGGTGTGATACATTTGTGTTTGTTGTTGAGCAACCAGTAAGCCCTTGTAGATTTCTTGAACTCATTGATTTGAAAATTTGATAGCACTGGTGGCATTGGTTTCCATTTCTTTCTTGTGTTAACATTTTTCTCTCTGTAGTTATTAGTAATGGATGACCAAGTTAAGGGTGCTGGAGATTATATAATTTAGGTGCTTTGTTGAGAGAGCTTCATTCAACCAACGATGTAACAGATCCGATCCGATA